GGATTTCAAGAGTATACATATGTTTAGAGATTGAAGTGGACTGAACAACTGATGAATGATTTTAGTATACATAAAATAAGAATTAGTTTGGGGAAGACCACATAACAAAATCAATATTAAAATAATAATGACAAATAACAAAAACATTATGATTTACCAAGGTAGTGATAAGTTCATAAGCAAAGATGGATGGTCGCTTACAGGTGAACCCAGGACGTGCGTTTCGTCCAATTTGAAAATCGTCAGCTGGATGTACCTACTTATAATGCTTGTGACTTAAGGCAATCCGCACATAATGAACATGTGCCAATAAGAGACTGATCAACCGCAGTCCGAAACATCAATGGGGAAATTCAAACAAACAATACAAAATGTAGGGATAAGTTATTTACTGTCTATTTAGGGACACATAACTCAGGTTTGAGTTTCATTTTTGCTATTCCTTCGGAGAACAGGAAAGACGCTGATTTTTTTGTCTGGAAAGAATCCTTTGAAACGCAGATATAGAAAGCACGTTTTTTCCGTTGTATCGTATTTGACACGTGATTTGTTTCGGCATACTTCTCGATGAAATTTATAGGAAGCTTGGAACAAACGAAGCCTAAACACGCAGCCGAAGAACTAGACCCTATCTTACATATAATGACACATCTTGTATGCAACAGTCAGAAGCACTCAATCTGTTTAACAAAGTATATAATAATATGAATGTTACTATGGTACATGAAGTAGAAGGTAAATTTTGTATCTTAAATATTGGAATCAAATGAATTTCACATGACACAGTACAAAAATACATCAACTGCAAAAATACATAAGGTGCATGGTATTATTTCAAGTTAATATAAGTTGTTCTAGTTTCTGGACAGGCCAATTTATTCATTCTTCTCAAGCCACATTTTGACCATGTCAGTTATTCGCTTATTAATCCTGACTTTTTATATAATATGAGCGTATGTATGTTAATTGCTCCGTCTATTCATTACGTGCCTGTAACTTATTTTGTCTGAATATAAATATTAAGTTACGCTTAATCAAAACGAACGGCACACTCGCCTTTTCCACTGCGTATCACCTCGTTTCGATTCTCTGTCTAGATCAATGAGTATGTGAAATATACATATTCAATACTCATTCTCATATTTCACTTACTTAATTCCGTTATTCTCTAAGATGAATGAAGTCGATAAAAATATACGAGGGTTGGCGGCATGTACATTTTGATAACAATCAGCATACGATTTGGCTAGAGTAAGATATAGGACCACTAAAATCTTAACTACAACAGCTTATGTTCAACAAATTACAAAAAGGGGATTGTACGGACATTTTTTGACCGCGCTGGTACACTGCTCAAAGGAAAGCCTGAAAGAGCTTGCTCATGCATAAACACACGTCCAGCAAAATTATATATTTATATATATAATTACTGATAATCCCCCAAATGCCCTAGTACGGCCGAGAGTGGGGAGAGTCCACTCTCCCTCTCGAAATGCTCTCATATGGCCAGCGAGTATATAACCTCTGTCAGGGAAGTCCTACTCACTGCCTTCTCGTGGCATTACCGTTGTTTACGAAAATGAGAGGACGAAAAGCGAATGTCTGGTGCTTTAACCGGGTTGGTGGACACGGAGGGTCCACCTAGAGAAGTTGGAAAACCCTGATTCCAAACCAATGGTACACATGGGCTCCAGTATCCTGATGGAACGAATGGCGAATGAACCTGCTGTTGGTGACGGGCTACCATGGGACTGCATCTCCTCACGATGCTCCACTGCCTTGTGGATCAGACCTTTAGGTCAAAGGCTCGGGGTGTGGCCCCCTAAGAAAACCACCCGCTTCGGTTTGGGCACCCGGGCAGTATCACAGCCCACACACAAATAAATGAAATGATGAATTCTATTGACGATACTATTCTCGCTCATACTAGAAGCAAGACAATTAACACTATTATTATTATTTACTACGTCGCTTTTTCACTCCCTTTATTCACAAATTGTGTATCATTCCTTTCCAACTTATGCAGTAGCTTGCCCATGGTGGAAACTCTGTCCTATCTAAACGATCTCCAGTTACTGTCTGGTTGAAAGTGAATGCTTCCACAGATTACGAATACTGAAGCAGTCATTCTGAAACCACGTACGCCGTTCAAGCTGGCTTCCTTCAACGTTCGCACACTAATGCAGATCGGACAACAGATGGGGCTGGCTATGTCTTTAGAAAGTCTTAATGTTGATGTTTGCTGTCTATCCGAGACCCGTATTCACGACTCTAGTGAAGTACTACAAATCCGCTCTCCATCTGTCGCTTCGAAAAGCTTGTTTCACGTGCGCTTATCCGGGGACTCTGTGGCATCTTCGTCTGGTCTTGCAGGCGTTGGTGTTGCACTAAGCGCTAGGGCTGAGGCAGCACTAATCGATTGGATCCCCATTAACAGTCAGTTATGTGCTGTTAGATAAGAAAGTTCCATCAAAGTGAGAAGAAATCGGCGTGAGAAACGATGTCTTTTCGTCATCTCCGCCTATGCCCCGACAGATTGCAGCCCGGATGCAATCAAGGATGAGTTTCACCATCAGTTAACAGTTCTTCTCCAGAAAGCGCGTTCGACAGATATTGTAGTATTAGCCGGAGACTTGAATGCTCAGGTCGAGCGTCTAGGCACAGAAGAGAGTCGTTTTGGTGGCCGATGGGAACTTGTTGGTCGCAGGACAGATAACGGGGACCGTTTACTGCAAATATGCACAGACCACAACCTGTTTCTGGCCAGCACTAACTTCCGGCACAGTCATCGCCAGTGTGCCACCTGGCGTCCTCCCAATGTATCTCAAGCCTGGACTCGATTGATAACATCGCGATCAGCTACCGCTGGCGTGGTTGTGTACAAGACTGCCGCTCCTTTTGGAGTACCTATCTGGAGTCTGATCATGCCATGGTCTGCGCCAATCTCACCTTACTTTTCAGTGGCCGAAGGATTGACCACCACCAACAGATCGATGTTAGTAAACTGGCTGCAACTTCTGTTGCAAGTACGTATCGAGCGAAGCTAGCCTCTAGGCTAGCTACCACCCCACCGAAAAGTATAGATGAGCATTGGTTGCATGTTCACGACGCCATGAAAATGGCGAGTAAAGCCACTTGCGGCTTCGCGAAACGTCCCGCTTACAAGCACTGGGTCTCTTCTGGCTCCTTACAACTGATCGAAGCCCGTCGGTCTACTCCGGGTGACCGTGAGTTTGACCACAAACGAAGGCTGTTACGTAATGAAATCGGACAAAGCTTGCGTAAGGAACGGGAAGCCTGGTGGTCGGAGCGTGCTAATGAGATGGAAGCAGCAGCTGCATCTGGTAACTGCCGGAAGCTCTTCCAACTCATCCGAGCCACTGGCAGCAAAAAGTCTGGTGTGAGTGAAACAATCTACGAGGATGACGGGATGCCAATCACTAATATCTCTCGACGTCTTGGACGATGGGCGGAATTCTTCGAAGGGCAGTTCAACTGGCCTGCTGCTCCGGCAACATCAACCAGCTTGTCCTTCCCCCCATGCACGGTGACAACTGATCCACCAAACGAGGCGGAAGTCCGCAAGGAACTCGAACTCTTGAAACGTTACAAATCACCGGGCCCTGATGACTTACCTCCGGCTCTTTTTAAAGATAGTGGTGACCTTCTAAGGAATTGACTGTGTTGTTTGGAAAGGTTTGGGAACAAGAAAGTGTTCCAACATCTTGGAATGAGTCAATAGTCGTCCCTATCTTTAAAAAGGGTTCACGTTGTTCCTGCAATAACTATCGGGGGATAAGTCTACTTCCGATTGCGTCCAAACTATTGGCTTCTGTCATTCTTCGTAAGTTGTTTAAAACCCGAGAACGTTTGACTCGCGAGGAGCAGGCTGGTTTTCGTTCTGGTGGAGGATGCATTGATCACATCTTCACCCTCCGCCAAATGTTAGAACACCGTCATACTTATCGCAGGCCAACAATCGTAGTGTTTCGTGATATCAGGGCTGCCTTCGATTCGTTGGACAGGACTGTTCTCTGGGATTGTCTATTGAAGAAGGGTGTGCCTGAAAAGTTCATTAACATCTTAAAAGCCCTGTATACGAACACCTCAGGCAGAGTGGGGGCATACAACCACCTTTCTCCCTTGTTCCATTCGAGCAGTGGGGTTAGGCAGGGTTGCCCGATCTCACCATTCCTCTTCAACTTTGCCATCGATGACATCCTGGAAACATCTCTGATGAATGTAAGTAATGGCGGTGAGGATATGTTGCCTGGAGAACGACTTATTATGAACTCAATAAACATACAATTCGCGTGGAGTATTAAAGTAAGTATAACTGTAACACCATACTGAAACGAACAGAAACATTACAGCAAAAGAAAGCAATGAACGATCTCCCAATACTCTTTCTGGTGACATTTCGATTAAGATACTTCCAACAGTAAGGTGGCTCTTTATCATTTGGCTGTGAATTAAAGTATGATAATCCATACGACAGAACTAGTAATGTGGTTAACGAACAGTGATAGCCATGAAACCAATTATACAAAATTAGGAATCATAAACCGAGAATACTAACTAGGAATAGCCGTTGACAGATGTAGCAGTGTTCCAAACACTTTATTGGAGATTCTAGCACATTCGCGACGTAGCCAAATAAAAAGGAATATTACTTGGCCGAAACAGTAGAACATATAAAATGGGAGAATAACTGATAGTGAGAATGTTACATGTGAACCACAGCGGTTGATCGAATAATACTAAGTTAAAAATGTATCCAGTGGAACAAACCCTATGGTGATTTTAGTTGAGTGTGGAATTGTATTCCCTCTACGTGTTCTGAAAATGTTTCTAACAAACACATATAACTGGCGGCCTGTTTAAACATCTGGGCTACCTGTCCCTGTCATCTAGATATTTCAACAACTTATTTAATTTTGTGCGTTTCTGAAAAGTGTAAAACCTTTAGCTGTAAAGGTTACAAAAAGCCTAATCAGAGATATCGTGGTTGCTGGCAATACACAGCGAGAAGAATGTAAATTATCCAGATGTCGATTGACTGAGCTGCTAACTTCTAACTGGCAATCACTCAATATTATCGTCAGGAAGGACGAAGAAGTAGGAAACGGAAATTTGTTGAAGTACTTTGTGCTGAGAATTCTATATTGTAACAAAAATATAACATTGAATAAAGCTAATAATAATTAATTAATTTTAAAAAAAACACATTTTAATGTTTCCTTCACATCCCAGGACAAAAGTTAAGCGATTCGACTTTGATAATCATTTGAAGTTGTGCTGGTGTGAAAGCAGTATTGACTAACTCTTACAATTATTATTATAAATTGAAAAACAATTATGTACAAGTATATATTATTTGGAGAAATGTTAATAACTTTTTTTTATAACTTTAAAATTAGTTCTGAATTACGATTTCTCTTCAAACTGAAGATCATCGCGAACAAACCACTTGGTTTACACATTTTATGTATAGAATGTTACATAAAAAACTGAGAGTTGAAGAATCGTTTAACACAGATCAATGAATTTTATATAAGATACTAAAAAATGTCCTAAAACAAAAAAGAACGAGTAACGTACGGAAAGGCTGACCAAAATAACAAACAAAAATACTAAGCGCTCCAGCAACTATTTTACTGAATTAATAAATACTTAAATTACCCCAATACCCCCCAATGAAATAGAAACAAAACACGCAATGCTACCGAGTTATGTTAAATATTTATCAAAATAAATTAAGGAGTCAATCGCTTTGGATCACGTGGGAACATTGATGTTTTTCTGATATTATCCAGCCCAAGGAACAGCATAGTCACTCGCTCAAGACCTACAATTCAATATTGAAGACAAATACTAATTAAAATGGAATAAACATATTCCGTACGAAAAGAGATATACAAAGTAACAATAACATAATGGTATAAATCAACAAAACGGACTTTCAAATGTTGTTAAGAAAAAAATTACTCATTGAGTTATTACACTCTCATGCCCCCCTCTTTACACTCGTGTAGGCGGTGCTAGAAAGTATTGTTGAGCTTCTAAAAAGCATAGTTCCAAGTAGATTAACAATTATGAGAAAAATTAACAAAAGCACCATGTATGAGTGTATAACAACAATTTAGCATATGATTATATTTATTACCTTCAGTACTGATAGTACACGCCCGAAACCTTACAGTGTATAACTGAACCCTTAGTTTTTTTGTCTTCTGACTAAACCTACTAACATCTGTCCTTATCACTGGTTTCCTTTGCTAATGGGACGATATTAGAAACAACAAATGTTACGTATAAATGACTGAATATCTTAGGAAGGTGTAGTAACTTACCAATCCCGCCACCGGCATGGGGTGGACAACCATAACGAAAAGCGTCAATGTATGCTTTGATCTTTTCCAGATCTGTAACAGAAGAACATCGGATAGTTACGTAATATGATATAGAGGTCATAATTTTAAATAAACAAGTAATTAGATGAGACGTGCAAACATACTTAAAGCGATCCCTAGTTCTTTCATGCATTCAAACACCAACAAGGTTCGTTTTTATCAAATAGACACCATAAAATATCAACGAGAGCAAAACACCACAAGTTACGTATTGGGAGCAGGCAGTTATTTATAACGAATATACTGTAGACATGTGCAGTGTACTCATTCGGACCAGTTAACAATCAATCCATACAGACATGTCATAACTCTGAGGACGATGACAAACTAATTTTTCGCCTACGACCTTTAGTATTGAATCGAACGTAAATGCAAAGATATGAAGTTTTTATGTAGGTCTAAAGCAGTGAGAATATGTTTATGAATAGGAATTAAAAAGGCAGATGCTAAGTTGCGAAATAAAAAGTAAATACAGTATCATAATTTTAGTATGACTATGAGTAATAGGTGTGAAGGATGACATAATCATATCATCATCACGATAGTCGACAAATTTATAAACATGCTAGTCACGTGTTAGGAGTATAGCTTTCTGTTCAACAGATTGAATTCACAAGTAATTAAATTGTTAATAGAGGTGAGTTGGTAGTGATTAAATAACCATATGATTCTTAAAATTTATCGCTCCAATCAATGATATACAAAACCTATCTAACTGTAGAGTAAGTTTCAATAATACCAGATATTAACAGCACATGAGCGACTAATTTTACACAGAATATTAGCATGAAACAAAGAATTTGTTAACATATCATCGTTCATCAGCAAAAGAATCTAGATTAAATGGAATCATAGTTGGCTTGGTGTAATAACATACCTAGAATTGAGATTAATTTTCGAGTGATTTTGCTATGTATAATTTGCGAGTACAAATGCTAAGGAAATAAACAGGATAGTTGCGAAAATGAATCACTGACTTGTGATAGTCCACCAAAAGATATTTAAGTCTACATGTTGATACTACATTAGATGTGCAATCTATAAGCGTAGTTTAATAGCAAGTTTACTGACAACATGCTAAGTTAAAGATGTCTTTAAGAATAATAAGGAAGAAAATTAAACTTACCAACTTTATGGTGTGTAGCACGTTCTGATAAAAGGACTGGATCATGAATACGTTGTGCCCCAGACATGATTTCTTCTCCGCGCATGAAAAAATCATACGAATTAGAATAGCCCTGTTTGAGATAAACAACGACAGGAATAATGTTTTTCATATACTAATATGATGCTTGGAAAAAAACTATTGTGAAGTGATTGGTGATTTTTCAAACAATTTTCTAGTTAGATTGCTTACATATAATTCCAGATGACTGAAGCTTTGTAACAATTATATAAGGCTATAAATAGAAATGAATCCTTATTTACAATTCCTTTTGAATAAATTATGCCTAACTTTTACACTTACAATCACTATAATATTAAGGATAATGATTGCGTATAGTGCCTTATCATTGAGTTCGTGAAATACATCTAACCTTTAGTTTAATTGTAGCGTGCCGATCAACTTTTGAGCTGACAAAAGAGAATTAAGTATGCGAACTAACAAATGAGCTCCTACGAGTTTACTGAAATCAACTGGACCTCAAAGTGAGAACAATTTATGATCACTTGAATTTGTAATGAGTCACTCATGATAGAACTACTTTACTTTCATTAGCGTTGTCAACGTGAATTCAGAATGTTACCATAGAAACACATCCGAGACCTTGTAAGCCTCACATAAATTTGAGAGACTGAAACTTTTGAATACATGTTATTAAAAATGACTAATTGAGTTTTAAACAACTGCTGTGCAATTTCTACCAAAAAATTACTCTGTATACAATATTAATAGGGAACATATTCTTCCAAATATTTGAATATAATAATCAATACAAAAAAACTTGGAGTGTTTTTATTTATGATTTACTATGTTACTAAAGAATAATCAAAAAGATTTTAAATTAATCGCTACTTGATATAAAAAGGTGTACCTTATCAGTAGGATGCGGCATGGTATAGAAAGCGCGAATATCAAGCGGGAACTTATCAAGAATATAAAAGTCTGTATGATACTTTTCTTTGATCAATTTTCCAAGAAACTTTTCAGCAGGTGTATTTAAATCATCTAATTCTCCAATTTCCCAACCAGCATCTTGTAACATTCGAATAGCATCACGATATTGTAAGCGTAACCTTTAAATGGACACATAGGAAAAGATGAATGTTTACGAAAATACACGGCTAATTCTATTTAAAGTGAGTCCAATCATATAACTGATTTTTCTGCTTCAGAAAACAGTAATTTGTTATAAAAATAGCAATTGGAAGCAAAGTGTATTTATAGCCTATGACGGTAAACATACGTAGGTTGAAGGAATTCAAAAGGTTCTGAATGATATTGTTGACATATGATTTGGATTTCAGTTTGATATCTACAATTTTTCAAAAGAAATACAATACACAATGAAAGTTAGAGACAAAATAATCAAATGTGAGAAGAGTTAATTTTAAAAACCTCACATTGGATGAACGATAGATGGTATTTACAACTTTATTACATGATGAATTTAAACGATGAAAACTTCGACAGAACTGACGAAATTAACATGTATGTGGGTTAGCTTCCATTACCACTGATCAACGTAGAACCTAAAATGAGAGTTGCGCGGCGCATATATATCTGGTGCCCCCTTTTACCAATATTTATGTGTTTAAATAAATAAATAAATGAGAGTACATCAGCTTAAACTGTCACACCTTACTTCAGTAACATATCAAATCGACAACACGAGAAACATAGAAATAGAAATGATATAAACTATAATGAGAATCCAAACATGAGGAATACAGTTTGAAAGGAGCAAACGAACTCGAAGAGTGAAAATTTGGGAACGACATTTAAGATTTAGAAGATACATATCTAATGCAGCTGAACCACTGTGGTGGAATAAACGTCATGTCACGTGACATTTGTAACCATAACTTATGAGTATTGAGTGGGTCCAAAACAGAATGACTGCACCCGTCCTCATGGATAAATAACTTTACGGACCGATGCTATATTTTGATCTGTATGCTCCCAGATCATATATTAGAAAACGATAGGTGAAAATTTATTGATCCAGAACATAAGGCATTTAATCTTGAAATAAGGAGCTTTTCTGTTTAAAGAAAAAGTGACAATACAATTGACAAATTATAAATAGATCAGAGGGGGTTTTGTGGAGAATTTAGTATTTTCACAGTTGAAATCATGAGTCAATTGAAGCTAGACCACCATCGAAAACCTGGAAGCACTGGACGGCCGTTTCGTCCTATTATGGGACTCCTCAGCAGTGCGCATCCACGAACCCGCTCTCGCGAGCGAGATTCGAACCCAGGACCTACCAGTCTCGAGCCGAAGCCCTTAACCGATAGACCACTGAGCTGGCATCCAACGGTGTTAATGTCTAACTTCAACCAATCCACGATATTGAGCGACCACTGGTGGGAAGCACTGGCCAGTGGAGTTCTATCAGGTCTGTTGTAGAGATATCATCTCACTGAAGACAATTGGTGCTTCCAGGTTTTCGATGGAGGTCTAGCTTCAATTGACTCATGATTTCAACTGTGAAAATTATAAATAGGCCAAGTTCTGTCTTAAAGGGTGTATTCTAGATATGACTGAGTGAATATGCTTACCATTGTAACTACTACTGAGAAGTCTCGGAAATTGGTGTTAGAAAACGAACGAAAAAGACACTAGATATTCAACGAAATAGCTTTTTTCAACGCATGATTACCGAGAGAAAAACAGTATGAGAAAGATATAACGGTTCTTACTCGCGTTGCAACCCTTTGAACATATGAACAAACATATCTGCGATAAGATCAACCACCTCATGATAATGGTTTTTGAAGGCCATCTCTATGTCTAAACCAACAAATTCTGTAAGATGTCGATGTGTGTTAGAATCTTCAGCACGAAAGACTGAGCCTATGGTAAAGACCTTCGTAAAAAAGGAAATGAATAATTCATGTTGTAATTAAGATAAGATATACACAACTGTAAACTAATAGAGATATATAATGTTAGTCTAATCTATGAGCTGCTAAACAACTGCACACATAGTTATAATGCCAATCACAAACGATTGGCTTCAATTTAAACCTTTCTATACTATTTGTAAACCAAAATAAGCAAAAACAACAAACCCGATCGAAACACAGGAGCATTTTTAGAGTATTGAAATTGGAAACACTCCCTAATGGATGACAAACACGTACATAATACGAAGTGCGTTGTAAAAATACTACTTTTAAACGGATAAAAAGCTTAACTACTTGCGGAGATTTATAGGTCAGAAAACTTTAGAGGATTGATTCCCCTACGAATGGATTTTAAGTTTACATATTGATATGGTAATATGACTGATTGTGAATATGTTTAGTTATCAGTTTTTCATCAATCCTTTACTTCCTCAATAACTACGGTGATATACTGTTTTCTGGCTCTTCCTAGATATCCGTGAAAAGAATAATACAAAAAATTGAATATATATATATCTTCACGTACACTTACAAACACTAAAACAGACCAATTAAACTTGAAAGTCAAAATGCCGACAAGGTAAGTTTGTATATATATAACTATTAAACCAAAAGTTCTCTACAGAAGACGTTAGACTTATAATGACTTAATGAGTATCCTCTTTGGAAAACATTTACTTAGTGTTGTAGTGGAATTCAAATGACCAGAAAGAGATTTCACTAATACAACGGAGTTTCGATAAACAAAGCTTCTCACAATTCTTGAAAAAGTTTTTCTACCGTACATGAAGTTTTAAGCAGTAAAACCCATACAAAATATGATTCCCAAATCTTGAGCGACGAAATTCTACTTTTAGAAGTAAGAAACACTTTTCGTTTACTTAAAAGAGGCTCGTAATATGAAACTTAACCTTTTATTAGAGATAAAATTCTTAACCTGGAGTAAATGCAACGCCAAACGCTAAAAAAATTAAATCTGATACAAAAACCATCAAACGTAACTAATTGTGCTTACTCTCACTCTACTCCTTGAAATTACTAAAGAGCAAAGATCCATATTCCGATAGATAGGTGATAAAATGACTGCTAAATAGAATTTTTTTTCAAATCATTTTTGGATCAAAACTTATATGATCCCGTCAGTCAGTCAGCTACAACGTAGGACCAGGCACATTTATGCATCGGTCCAAGTTGCCATACCTCGTTAGCACAACAAGATGAACACCGGATTCATAGAAGTAATTAATTTAGTGGTGGTAGTATATAAAGAAAGGTTGTATATAAGGATATAGTATAGGAATGAAAAAAGTTATGAAGCAATTTTAATCTCAAGGTTTAGGGGAAGATAAAGAGTGTATACACCTACGCCATTGTGATCGATTCTGAGCCATGTCACACAGAGTCTCCAACCATTGGTTACGATAGTCACGCGGACCCCAACCAGGTAGTCTGCATCTGCCAACATGGCTCAGACTAGAAGTTAGTAACTTCAAGCATTGGTGTCATGTTTTGGTTTGGCCGCCCCTAACTCTCTTCCAACTATCCCCTACACTAGTCAGCATTGCGCGTCGTGGTAATCGGTGTTCAGGCATACGTAACACATGGCCCAACCATCTCAGTTGATGAAGATTTACAATCTCATCAATTGATTTACCATCATTCCCTAATACCCTGCGTCTGTCTAACCTCACTATTACTTACCCGGTTATCCCAGCAGATGCGAGCAATATTTCTAAGGCATCTGTGGTCAAATACTAGTAACCTACGAGTATCTTCTACTCTTAATGGTCACGTTTCGCAGCCGTAAAGTGGAACAGAGCGAACTGCTGTGCAGTATACTCGTCCCTTAATTTATAGACGGATATCTCGCCTTCGCCATAGGTGACGTAAGGTGGCAAAAGTCAAACGAGCTTTTTGAATCCGTGCTGAGATTTCGTCAGACACACACCCATTAGGGCTGATCAGACTTCCAAGAAAAGTGAAGTTGTCCACGCGTTCGACTACTTCACTCCCTATCCTTAGTTCAGGTGTTGACGCAGGCCAGTCCTGGAGTAACAATTTACATTTGGATGGGGAGAAACGCATCCCAAATATCCTGGCATTATTACTCAGTTCTAACAGAAGAATCTGCATTTTGTCAGCGTCTTCACCAAACAGGACTATGTCATCTGCGTATTCTAAGTCGATAAGTGAACTTCCTGGTAGGAGATCAATTCCTGAAAAGTCAGTCGACGAGAGTGTTATTTTCAGCAACATGTCTATAATGAAGTTAAACAAAAATGGGGATAGTGGACAGCCTTGACAGACACCACTTGAGGTTGTAAAATCATATGACAGTTCGCCATAAGCTCTCACTCGACTGGTAGTGTTCGAGCAAAGAGCCTTCACAAGGTTTATGTACTTCTCAGGTATACCTTTTAATGACAGACACTGCCACAGAACCTCTCGGTCTACAAAGTCAAATGATGCTTTCAAGTCAAGAAAAACTATCATTGTCGGACGCCGACAAACGTGTCTGTGCTCTAAAACTTGACGAATGGTGAACATGTGGTCGATACAGCCACGACCAGGTCTGAAGTTAGCCTGATTTTCTCGTGTTTGCAGTTCACGAGTCTTAGTTAGGCGCCCGATAATTATTGAGGCTAGTATTTTAGATGCTATGTTAGTCAGATTAATCCCTCTATGGTTATCACAGGATGATTTTGGCCTCTTCTTATATATTGGGACAATCAGAGATTGTGACCAGCCAGATGGGATTACATCCAACTCCCAGATTTTAGCCAGAATATTAGTCAACCTAATCGCTAAAATCGGACCACCATATTTAAAGACCTCTGGAGCCAATCCATCTGGACCAGCTGCTCTTCCTTGTTTCAGATTACTTATAGCCTTTTGAACTTCAAGTAGGGTCGGGGGGCCTACTTCAATGTTCCATTCAGGTTTTCTGGGAATAGTGGGTAGTTGTGCAGTAGCTGAAGGCCAGCTAAACTGCTCCTTAAAGTGTTCCGCCCATCGTTCTAAACGTTTGCGTTGAGAGCAGATAAGGGTTCCGTCTTTTTCCGAGATTGTCTCACTTACACTTGACTTCTTAATTCCGGTTTCTTTTATTAGTCTGAATAGTTGCCTGGTGTTGCCTACAGTCGCTGCCTTTTCCATCTTTTTTGCTTTCGTTGCCCACCACTGCTCACGATCGTTCCTTAGACTTTTAGTTAGCCTAGATCTAATTTGTTTACGCTCTTCGTCGTGTTCAGAGCCTGATGGGATGAGTTTACGCGAATCCATCAGTGAAATAGACCTAGAAGAAATCCACTGGTTTTTTGGAGCCCTATGGTTTAAATAACTAATAGATGTTACTGATGTTTCCACAGCTGTTCGTGTGTCTTTCCAAGCAGCATCTGGGTCAGTCTCGTTTACAGAACTGCCTAGATGTAAACTCAGTTGTTTCTGGAATTCGCATTTGGCTTTCTCGTCCCCCAGTTCAATCCTAATGGGTCTTCTTAGTATGTCTTTTCTGCTTCCATTGAGGCGCAGACAAATGCGCGCTCGTATTAAAGCGTGATCAGAGTCTAAACAAGTATTCCAATACAAGCGACAACCTTCTATTGAGCCTCTCCAACGATGACTGATGACAATATGGTCTATTTGAGTTCATCGTTGGTTTGGTGCAGGTGGTCGCCATGTTAGACGATGTCTCTCCTTATGCTTAAAATTAGTGCTTGCTAAAAATAAACGATTGTCTGAGCATAGTTGCGACAGACGATAACCATTATCGGTTCGTTGAGCCGGAATACTAAAACACCCACCAAAATGTCATTCTGTTTGATTTAAGCTGCCTACCTGGGCATTAAAGTCACCCGCTACGACTACTATGTCTGAGCGCTTAGCTTTCTGAAGAAGCTCAGAGAGCTTTCTGTAAAAGTCATCTTTCACTTCATCATGGCTGCAGTCAGTGGGAGCGTAGGCAGAAACGACGAAAAGGCAACGACGTGTGTCCCTATCCTTCCGAGTTCTTACGGAGCCATTTAGCCGGACAGCACACAGGCGACTGTTAACGGGGATCCATTCTAATAGTGCCTGTTCTGCCCTTGTACTTAGTGCTATGTCTACACCTGCAAGTCCACGAGAACTAGCCAAACGGGTCGCCAGATACACAGAGGGTGTATTTCGTTGGCTGTCCATTTTGGCGAGGTGAGGTCAAGTGAATGACCACACTGGGATCCTGTATGTGTTTCCGAGACACAGCATACATCAATGGTACGAGATTCTAGGGTTTTAGCTAAGGAGGCCTGTTGACCGATTTGGCATAGGGTACGTACGTTGAAGGCTCCAATGTGTAGTTTGGAGCGAGGTTTTAGTAGACCTGGGACAGCGTTTCGCGCACTAGAATCGTTGGCCATGGTGACACTTGAGGAGGAAACCGAAAGAGGAAGTTTGATGTTGAAAGTCAAGGTAGAAAGAATAGTAGGAATTGAAGGAGATTGATTATGAATACAGTGGTCTTGAGTGCTGTTAGAGGTATGAGGGCAGTTATCACTTCCCGGTTGCCCACACCGTGGAAGGGTTCTTCTAGAGGTACCTGAAAAGGAAATTTGGTTAGAAGTGCTCTTAATGACCTGAGAGCGTGACCGCTGTGCCCAAGGGACAACTGCTTGAGGTCGGTCACACGACCTTTTTGTGGGTAGTTTTTGTGTTAGCTTCGTTCTTCAAAGGACCTTACCGCCGGAGACGGATATCCGTGGGATAAGGCGAGGTGTGCATTTTTAGGGTCGACCTTTTCTAACCCCACCCCTCCTTGTGGGAAGACAGCATCGTTGTCATGCTGGTTGTCTGAAGGAAACACCTTACCGCTGTCACACCTCTGTACAGTCAGCAGTACGACTTCGCCTTCGGACCTTGGGTTTGCTGCTTTTAGTCTCACCGCTCTTCAAACGACCTGCCTGGCATGGTAGGACCTTGAGGAACGATTGTTCCAGCCAGTATAGCTCGATTGATTCATCACGATAGGTGAGCCCGACCACCACGTCAAGGTAGCAGCAACGGTCGAGTATATATGATCCCGAATAAGTTTACAATATGTCAACCTCTGGAGTGATAGGCTTGAGTACTTACCAGACATGGCAATAATTACTTTGGAAGGTTGCGTATTTGGTAGGATCACCATATACTATACTGACGCTAGGATTTTAAATTTCGGTTAAAAAGATTGCTATCTTGATAATATGGTTAATAAATAATCATATTGTCATTATAGCTATCTTTACAATGAATATAATACCAAACACTGTGTACCTATTGACAAAATACGGAAAAACAAAGCCATAAGACAAATCCATACCTTATGATATATGATAAAACTTTTTAAAAAACTGTGTGTAAGTAGTATTAATGGTTAAAGCACTAGTCTTCCAACCATTAAGTAGTAGGTCTGAACTCTTCAAAGGCTACTTTGTTTTGGTAGCCGGGTATATAATACTGTACTTAGGTTGGTTACATGACTAATGTACAGGTCTAGACATTTAATCCGATACTTGAGTCACAAGTTAAAATTCACTCCAACAACATTGGTCTACAGTGGAATAAAGGTACTCTCATCTGATATTACACATTAAGTGTAGCCAAGTGTGTGTATTATAGCTGATTTGCAATTCAAATTGTATATACATGCAATCTAAGACTTACGCGTGAGTGAACTCACATAAGAAACGTACCCTTTCAAAGTCAGCCGCTATGGCCATTTGTTTATATAGCTGAGGTGACTGGGCCAAATAGGCACTACCAGAAAAGTAGGACACTCTGAAAACATTTGCACCTCCTTCGGAAGCTGCTGAAATCATTTTTGGAGTATGGATATTCACAAACCCAGCATTGGTAAGGTATTCCATAAAAAATTTGACTACACCAGCTTCAATCCGATAAATAGCTTGATTCACCGGAGTCCTCAGATCAATGCATCTATTATCCAAACGAGTATCTTGATTGACTCGACTCAAAGTCTGGAATTGAAGCGAAAACTTAAAATATAACATTTAGTTCTGAACAATAAAATTTCAGGCTTAATACTAACAAGTGTAAATAAACATCACTTGAATTTTCGGAAGTGGGCAATTCGATTTGCAATGTACGCAGATAACTTATCCACTAGCACATTCCCACATATAATTATCCACACCTGACAAGCATGTATTTCTTAATCCTTTAAATAAACAATAGTATACTGTACTTGGAAGTTTCTCCATCGAAAAATATCATTTAAAAAGCTACTGAAAACCATGGAACCATGAAAAGTTACGTAATAAAGGCTTTGTGGGAACAGATCTCTAGGGTACAATTCCGAACTGAAACCTAAAATGTCTGAATTTACTCGTGGAAATGACTGAAGCTTCTATTCCCAAGGGACTGAGATTTACAGCTTGAGAGTTCTTAAGTAGTAAAATTTCGCAACAACTACCTGAAAAATGACTAATCCCTCGAAACTAAGAGCTTGAAATACAATATTTGCAATTAGATTTACATCAAAAACAAGCAGCCACATTTCAAAACCTTTAAAATTACAGACTAAAAATTTAGAAGTATTTAGTTTGGTCGAGTTTCAATTATGAGTTTATACGAAAAAAAAAAAGAAATTACGCAACCAACCGTTTCGTCATCATCAGGTCTCATTGCATCTTCAATTTGTAGAGGTAAAGTTGGAAGAGCAGCGCTTACAACAAACACTTTTTCACAGTGGATTTCAATGGTATCTGGATTGCAACCCTCAATGAGAACAGGGCTTTTTAGAACTCGCCCAAAAACATCGATGATCGATTCTTTAGAAATGCTTTATCAAAAAAAAGAAGAACCAACAGACAACGATAGATTAGAAGAAATGGATGACATGAAAGACCACTATGTTACAAGGGATTTTAATGACAACGTGGTGTGATATACTGTTACTTTGTTTGAACCAATTTTTGTCACAAATTACATTATGAGCTCAGGACGTTATGTGATTTTCCACAGTATATTCCTGTTACTACCATGAAAAGTCAAGGAGGATGACATAAAACATAACATTATCCATAGTTTTGCATGGTTAACAGTGTAGAAAGAGTGTAGTGAGGCCATAAGGTTGTGATGAGAACTAAATGGTACTAGCAATCCTTGACCGGCTACTTACTACATACTTGAATACAAAATACGGTTTTCTCAAAAACAAAAGTCAGACAACAAAGAACTGAACTATCCCTGTTCTATGACTCATCAAGCGTCTACATCATAGGAAGTTCGTTAATTGGTTTCATACTTATACTACCTGAACTTGATGGAATAACCAATCGAATAGTTATTCAACAGCAGTGTTAATCTATATAGGGTCTTACTAGTCGTTTTACTCACTGTCGAAGAGTACCATTTATAACACAATAATATAAGTCATCACAAATATTCAGATTGTTACACGGTTACGAGTGTAAGACTTGCACATGAAATGACGTATATCTGTTTGATTCATGTTTCTGATATAAAGACGCTGACAAAATGCAGAGTCGTTTGGTAGCACTGAGCAACAATACCAGGATGTTCGGGGTGAGTTTCTCCACCTCTAAATGTAACGTTGCTTCAGGACTGGTCTACATTAACACTTGAACCAAGGATAAGGAGTGAATTAGTCGAATGCATCTAAAACTTCACTTATCTTGGTGTCTGACGAGATCTATGCACAGATTTAGAAAGCTCGTTTGGCTTTCGTCAACTTACGTCACCTATAGCGAAGGCAGGATATTCGTATATCAAAGGACGAGCATAATCCTCAGCAGTTCGTTTTGTTTTACTTTACGCCTATGGAACGTGGCCGTTAAGGGTAGAGGATACTCGCAAGTCAATAATATTTGATCACAGATGTCTTAGAAATATCGTTCGCATCTGCTGGAATCATCAGGTAAGTAATAGTGAGATTAGACGCAGTGTTAGGGAATGATGGTAAATCAGTTGATGAGGTTGTGAATTTTCATCGACTGAGATGGTCGAGCCACATATTACGCATGCCCAACCAAGACGCGCAATGCTGACTAGTATTGCAGACGGATGATAGCTGGAGGCGGCCAAACCAAGACGTGGAATCAGTTCATGAAGTCACTAACTCCTAGTCTGAGTCATTTTGGTAGATGCAGACTACTAAGTTGTCGTCCGCGCGACTATCGTTACCAATGGTCGGAGACTCTGGGTGACATGGCTCAAAATCGATCACAATGGCGTAGGTGTATACTCTTAGTTTTTTCTTAGACAACAAGGTTGAGATTACCATAACTTTCCACGAACTAATTCTTTTTCCTTATCCCATCCTTATTTGAAATTTTTTTTTACTACTAGCGAATTAATTGCCCCTATGAATTTGGTATTCATCCTTTTTGTGATAATGAGGTATAGTAACTTGGAACGACACATATATTTGCCTGGACCCACGTTGTAGCTGACTGACTAACACGTTTCCGACAAATTAATCTATGCATTACGTATTTCACGTTGCGACAACAAATCACGAAAATACTATACACGAGTAAGGCTGAACAAACTGTGAGCTTAAGAAACTTGCTAAAAGCCCATAACAACATCTTAGCTCATTCATTCAACTAGAAGACAACAAATATCCATCAGTTATCATTGTAGGAGTAAGATTAGGTTTTCACAGTCATCAGATGTGCAGTTGAGAGCGCATTAAGGTATATATATATATATATATATATATATATATATATATGCCTATTAAGACTAATAGAAAAACGGGTAGGAAGGTTTCAGAAGTCATACGAAAAGCCCTAGTATCTATATAACAAGTTACCTGGAAACGAATGCCAACATTTCTTTGGGAGTCTGTTCCCCAACAGAAAGTACGTTTTGTATTCTATAGTCTTGTAAACGTAGTATAAAGAAACATAGTTTTCCTTTCATTCGACTTCTATGAAGACGCCCACGAACCCACACATTTTGATTGATATTTGACTCATTTGACAAATCTCTTAGTTCAGTGTATTTAGGACCTTCAGTAAACTGTGACTGGCACAGTGGGAGAACACCATATGCATCTGTTGCAGCAAGTACCCCATTTTCCCCAATGAGCGTAACTACAGCTTTCTACATACCGAATGTTCCGTTATTAGAAATTAATGAAATTCACCTGACCAGCCTCTGCCTCCTGAACCTTGGATTTACCTACATCACGTTGTAATTTTCTGAGTTCTTTCTTTGTCTTCTTGTCGTTATCTTGATGAGTAACCTCTGGCATAATAAAACCTCACGCAGAAAGGCTTCGAAGCGCACAAGACTGCGACCTTGGCGAAAAAATAAATTTGAGGTCTACATCAAGAATAGAACATAGAATAAAATTCCTTCACATGATACAAATGGTTCTGAATGAAAAAAAGAACCTTTCTTTCCAGGTGGGAGCTTGAGTATATTCGCAAAACAAAAAGGAAATATTCGTAAATTATAGTGGCATACTGCCTTAAGTCTTTTAGAATATATCAAGTTTCCAATGAATGATCTCTAAAGTTTCCTCGAAAAGTACTTTTTGTAGTTCTCTCCTGATCCGTAATTTGAGATGCCCATACCTAAGATATCCCTTTCGGTTGAGTATTATTAGAGGTAATTGCGTTACACAACTCGTCTATTTTGCTCGATAAATTTGTAGCGTTAGTATTAAGGCAGTTAGACTTTCTTGTCCTGTCCGTTTGGATTAGCCTTATGTGAATGTCATGCAGTTAGTTCCCTTTATGAATTTAAATAAAGCCAGAACAAATATTGATGCAGAATAATATGAATTCATTATATTTCGTGGTTTCTTATCAGCTGCTTACAACCAAATATGCATTAGAGTTTTAGCATTGGGGTAATAAATAGGATGGAACGGCTGGCATAAGTGAATGTAAAGGAATGGGATAACAAAAGATCATCAATGATAACTATATATATATGTGCAAGGAAGGTCAGAGGTTATTAGGTATTAGAATGAAGGGTGGCGTAATAGTTGAGTGAAATTCAAAGACAGATAAGATCAAAAATGTGATTATTTTAGAGGTAATTAAAACAATTAGGGTGGGTTGCGTAATAATTGAATAAAATTTGGATAGTTCATATAATTATGAGAGACAAATGAGCGGAAATGTGTGAGAGAAAGGGTGGTTTAAGAATTGGGTAAGGGAAGAGGAATCTAATAAAAACTGAATATTAACCAAAATTAAACTAATAACAACAAAACTGAAACAAGCAAACAAAAAAAAGGATTACCAGGGTAGTAATAAGTTTATCACTGCCTCTTTTTGAGTGCACAGATTCGGTTTGAGTTTTTTTTATCGCGATCGCTTCCGCAAACCGGAGAGCAGTTGTACTTCTTTGTTTACTAATGATTTTAAAGGCATGAGAAATGTCAATCCTGTGCCCGGTGTCGAGTAAATGCCGAGCTATCGCACTGTTGAGAGTCCTGGAGCCTTGCAGCCTGTTTCTTGGGAACATGCTCAGAAATGCGGACATGCACTCTTCTCTCGATTCTTCCAATGTATGTGCTTCGGCACGTACATGTAAATTGGTAAATGCAGTTGGAGCTACTGAGAAAAGAGGACTTGTCGATTTTAGTTTGTTTGAGTGAGCAGTTTGTTTCCCACACTGTTGTCAGTTTAGCAGCTGGGTAGGTGGCTTTCAACGCAAAATTAAGTCGGTGGTTAATTATTCCAGCGATTTCGTCTCCTTTGAAACGTAGGTATAGGAAGCATGTTTTCTTTTCAACTCGATCATTTTTTATTCGACGGTTGGTGTTTGCATATTTGTGGATGAATTTCTCTGGATATGCATTTTCACGTAGGCATTTGGTGATTAAAGCTATTTCTTCCTCAAGACACTCATTGGAGCAGATTTTGCGTGCGCGGTCGAAAAGGGTTCGTATAATACCCTTTTTGTAACTCATCAGACAGAAACTGTAGTAATTGAGATACAGTCCACTCCAAGTGTTTTTGTGATGAACATATCTTTGTAATGTACACGCTGGTGTTCGTCTAATTCCAATATCTAGGAAATGGAATTTATCTTCGTCTTCATGTTCCATCGTAAATTCTATATCCTTGTGTGCTTTATTAAACAAACTGAGCAGATTGATGGAGTGTTTATGATTGTCACAAACAAGAAAGGTGTCATCCATGTATCTGCAGTATAGTGTGGTACTATCGATAGCATGCTTAAGCTTCTTCTTTTTAAGGTTCCACATAAATATGTCAGCCAGAATAGGACCCAAAGGGGTACCCATGGCTACTCCATCAATTTGACGGTAGAATACATTGTTGAATTTGAATTGTATGTCTTTTGTGCACAGAAACAGAAGCTGTTTGAATTCATGGATAGGTAAAGGTAAAAGTTCCGAGTATTCACCTATGATGTCTGCCGTTTCATCTAAGGGTATATTGGTGAAAAGCGATGAGACGTCAAATGAGGCCATGAATTTATCAGATGCATTTATATTGTCAAGTTTTTGTACAAATTCAAAACTATTTTTCAGACTATAGGGTGCTAGTTTCTTGCGGATTGGTTCCAAGCACCTTGTCAGTCAGCGGGCGAGTTTATGAAAGGGTGATTTTGTCATAGATATTATTAGTCTTATCGGGACGTCGGTTTTGTGTATTTTGGGTAGACCGTATAAGTACGGTAATTGTGATTCTTTTGGTTTGAGTTCGTTATATGTATGGTTATCTATTAGATTTTTCTTCAACAGTTCTCTTATGTGAATGGACAAAGAAACCTACTTGCAAAAGGTTTTGCGGAGTGAGTAATCCCTGTCTCTTCTTTCCTTGTTCTTGACAGTCCGCAAGTGGGATAGTCAGTTTCAATATGCTTTTGTGCCTAGTCTTTAAACCAAAAGTTTAACAACAATAGTAATATCAGGTTCGCACTATGAAGTGGTTCTTGCCTCGCCCGAAAACATTTTGGATGCTGGCGGAGCGTACAGAGCAACAGTCGTGACGGGAACTGATAAAGAAAAAGACAGTCGAAAAAGTGATTCAGCTATTCAACGGGCACGTCGAATTTGCCTACACTTAAGAGTGAAAACAGTAGCACGCGACTGAGGTATTTTGACAGTCACAACTAGAAAAGATAGTATGAAACCAAGGACCAATTGAACTAAGAATTTCATAAAACGTTTCACTGGTTGGCACTAATGGTTGTAAACGGAATTGACACTTTCGCCTAACGGGCTTCTCTGCCTTACGAAAATGAATCGTCGGTGCCTCCAGATGGAGATTGAAGTAAACGAAACAAATATAAGTGAAAGTAGTATTATAAAATTATTATAATATAATATTCCGGGCGCTCAAATTATAGTGAGTTTCCACTTGAATGGCTATGTGAGAGATGCTTGAAATAATTCATCTGGTGTAGCATATCGAGAATTGATTAGTTACTGAGAGTGAAAAGCATGCTAGTAGTCTACTATATCACAGCTTTTTGTAATTTTCGAGTGCTACCCCAACTTTCGTGTTAAACTGAACTGAAATGGACATATCAGGGGATTTCTTGAAATGTTTAGGATGCTGTCAGTCGTTTAAAATTTACCTCTGCGGCACATGTATCCCGAAAAATAAAAAGCTAGTGATTTAGGAAATTCCCCATGGCTCTTAGATTTTTGTTTACAATCTGATTCCATGACCTGTATTCGAATAAGCTTCAGACTATCCTTAATCTTCTGAAATGAAGGAAGAAACACTTCGCTTCCATATTGTGAACAGGATCTAATAAATCTGTCATAAGTTGGACTTTAGGTCCCACCATTAAACTATTCAAAAATTGCTTCAGAATTACCAATCCAAACTTTTTGTAGAATAATTTACTTGAGATTAGCAAACTCTTGGATTCATACGTTATACGCTACCAAGCAGGAATCTATATACCTTTTAATCTGGACTCCCATCGTCTATTGTAAACAAATTGTCCATTTTATTGTTTGAGACCATATATACTCCCAGTCATAAACCCATAAGTGAACTCAGCGCTATTTTTCTGGCTTAGCCTTATTTGATTGGCAAGAGATACTGAAAAATTTCATGTTGAAGTGTTTTCGTTCCTCATGCAGTTTTCGTAAGATCGAACGTCTATGCTGTCCTGACATCATATGGCCTGTCTGGATGCGAAGGCATTATAACTAGTGTTGGTACGGACTGCCTCAACTTGGAAGACATCATTTTAGGTGGATGATAGATCACCTTTATTACCAAGCATTTAGTACTAGAATTCTCAAATAATCGTTGAATCACAACACCTGAAAACTGCAAGGACTATTTTATAGGCTTTCGTTCCTTAACACCATAACCTGAATCTACAAGGTTCACGTCATTTGGAATTCCTCCGGCAGACACGGTCCTTTCGTGTTACAGCACCGACAGAGATTCTTTTAGAGTCACTTCTAATTATGTTGTGTTTTGAGTATAGTGGACCTGTTAGTATCCTCACACCACTACCCAACGTATGAAAGAGACTGACCGGCAAACGTTGCCAGCTCTAGCGAATGTTACACAATAAACGCTGGTTGATTTAAGTGTTTGAGAACCTTATCTTACGTACGTCATATAAGCGTTTAGGGAACTTATTTTAAAGTCATAACCGATGGTTGCTATATTTCTGTTCAGAAGACTAAAGGGAAGATTCGGGCCAGTCTTCCTATATGATGACAATGAGGTATCCTTAGCATAGTTTGATACGTTTCTCAAGTTTCTTGATTCGCCAAGGTCAAAACCGTCGCAATTCGATCTCCGGACTACAGCCCGAAATTCAGTGATTTCTATTCACCGGTTGGCTAGTCTTAAGTGAAGATTGGTCGTCTGGATTATCTTTCAGGTTCCTTTCATAAACCTGACTACCCTAGAGAACACGGGTTTCGTCGGTGGGTCTTGTACGGTCTGTGATATTGTAATGCTTGGTTGCAGCATGACGGCGATGGTATTTGATAGGCTTCTATGAGTAACTGCCCCCACGTCTGTCACGGATGAACATCACAGGTCACGCTCCTCACAAGGATTACGGAATCTCCCCTTGTATTTACTAGTGGTCACATGACGACTGTAAACAAGGGGTCAAATAGATAACTGAATTTTACTGGAATCATCGATCGATTCAATTTAGGCAACCACTGCAAACCTGAAAGCACTATGTGGTTAGTCCTTCTAGATAGGTTCACAATTTCCATGAAACTCAACAACATTCAAACTTAGTACTGAAAATCATCAAGTGCCTACTTGTGACTAGCTACGGAGTGTAGTCAGACGGCAGGTTTTAAGACTACGGCCTTAAGCGCTTATCACACAAAATATGTTCAGTGGC